GGGGGGGGGGGGTTCATACCCAGGCAGGCTGGCACTAAGCTCGCACACTTAACCACCAGGCTGGTGCCTGGATACGTGTAATTTCCTTTCAGGCAGCTGTGGCCATTTGGGGAGGGGGGTGTCTGGCTGCCGGTGAGGCCAGCTGGCAGAGAGGAGTGGGAGGCCCCAGACAGCAGACCTGGTCAAGTGCCCCCAGGCTGGCGTCTGGGCTGGCAGGCTGAGCCCAGGCTTCCCCTGACCCCTCGCTGCCAGCCCCAGCTCCTCGGGGACTCTCCTGTGCCCCGGAGCCTCCTCCAGTCCTCCATCCCCACCCCTACTCCTGCGGTCGGCCCAAATACCAGACAGGGCGAATCTCATCTTTTGCCCAAACATTCCTCGTTCCCGTGGCCGGCCCAGGCTGGCTGAGGTTATGAAAGCAGAGCCTGGGTGGTTGCGGGGGGCGGGGGACCAAGGGGATGGGCTGGCCTGTCCTCACCACCCCATCCGGCCGCCTGCCTGCCCTCCCCAGGGCGGGGAAGGGGGTGGGTCAGCTCCCCTGAGCCCCTGGGAGAACAGGCTGTGTGTAGGGGGGTGGCTTAAGCAGAGAGATGGGGGGTGGTGGCGGCCACTACACAGGCTCCAGGAGGTGACCGCCTGGTTTCCATTAGGGAGCCCTGGTTGGCAGTTCGGGCGAGTCGGCAGAGCACGGCTGGCTATGGTAAGGTGGGGCAGGGAGGGTCCGAGGGTGGGGCTCTGGTTGCTATGGCGACCCCACGCCCAGCCTGGGGACCCGCTGACCCCTCCCTCCCCTCCCAGTGGCTGAGCCTGCTGCTGCTCCTGCTGTTGCCGGGGCCCCTGCCCGCCCCTGTCATGGAGGACACCGCCTTCCCCCACCTGGGAGAGAGCTCGCAGCCCCCACCCCGGGCGTGTCCCCCGAGATGCTCCTGCCCCCGTGCCGACACGGTGGACTGTGATGGCCTGGACCTGCGGGTGTTCCCAGACAACATCACCAGGGCCGCCCAGCACCTCTCCCTGCAGGTGGGGTCCGGGTCAGAAGTGAAGGAGCTGGGAGGGAGCGTGGAAAGCCATGGGGTTAAGGGTGGTGGGGTGTGGGGGCCCACGTGCAGGAGGTGAGGAGTTGGTGTTGATGGACGCTGGCCCTGGTGACAGTGCTGGGCTCTGTGTATCGGAGGCGAGAGGAATTGGGGGTGGAGATATTGGAAGTGGGAGGGGCTGAGGGGTTGGNCAAAGGTGTACTTACCACTTCTGCTTACACCTGTTATCCAGGACATAGTCGTACATAAAAGAGGCTGGGAAATGTAGTTCATTATTCCAGGCAGCCATACATCCAGCTAAATATAAGTGATTTATGGTTTGGGTCTAGATCCTGAAGAACTTATCAGCCAGATGAAGGCTGATTGAGGAGTTTGGCCTCAACCTCTGTCTCAAGGTTGGATTCCATCAGAAGATGAGGAAGGGCAGGTCTTGGGATCACTAACTGGTATTGAGTTAAGACCCCCTCTTTCCTCTTTTTACTGGGAGACTGTATTTTCCATCAGCCTCTTGCTCCCTCCCACCTCAATCCTGCCACCCCACCCTCCACCTGGTGCAACCAAAATGAGACCAGATTGCTACACTAGCTGTCCATGGTGTTACAGCAACGTCTTTCATCCCCTTGACCCAACAGCCCTCCCTGCACTGAGGCCAGAGCCTCAGGGGTACCAAGGGATAACAACCATCCCTCCCCATACAAACATTCCTGTGTATAGCACACAATCCTACATGCAGTTTGTACATGTGCACAAATCACTGATTACAGCAGGCTCTATGCTGGGCATTGGGGCTATACTGGAGACCACACTCCACTGGTTGTCCCTGCAGAACTCCCTGCTGGGTAGGGCAGGGCTGGGTTGGGCTAGGCTGGGCTGGGTGGATCGGAGGCGAGAGGAATTGGGGGTGGAGATATTGGAAGTGGGAGGGGCTGAGGGGTTGGGGGTTTGGGGCTAAGATCATGGTGGTTATGGGGTTGTTTGGGGTGAGTATGATGGGGTGTTTGGGGTTGATTTTGTTAGTGTTGGGGCATTTGGGCTGATTGTGGGGGTGCTGGGGGGTCAATGTCTTGGTGGTTATGGGGTTGTTTGGATTCAGGGTGATGGGGTGTTTGGGATCAACTGTAGGGGTGATGGGGTGTTGGGGCTTGCTCGGACTGATGGGGTATTGAGATTCAGTGCTCAGGATCACTTGACCGGGAAGGGTCATCAGGGTCAGAGTTGTAAACATCCCCCACCCCAATCCACAGAACAACCAGCTCCAGGAGCTCCCGTACAACGAGCTGTCGCGCCTCAGCGACCTGCGGACCCTCAACCTCCACAACAACCTCATCTCCTCTGAGGGTGAGGGGGCAGTGGTCGGGAGGGGGGCCCGTCCCCGGCATGTGGGACAGAGATTCCAGCTGTGCTGTCCCTCCCCCGCCTGGGTCTGCGGGCAGCTCTGCGGCAGTTCCCAGAACTGCCCTTTGCTGAGCAGGATGGAAACTTGGGGGCTGGGGGGGGGGCCTGTGGCTTTTGAGTAGGGCCAGGGTTGGTGGGGGGGGGGACGGACTTGAATGCTGGGGGGAGCCTCTGCCAGCTCCCAGCCTGGAGCCTTGGGGCAGCTGGGAGCATAGACTCCCCC